AGCTGGCCGGCACGATTATCTAACCACTCTCTTATTGACACGTGTGATAAGAAGGAGCGGTTGCGATTTGTCCATATAGGTAGGTGACAGAATATAAACGAGTTGATCGCCTGTGATTTGGAGTGCTTTAAAGTTTGGGCCGTATGGTCGGTTGGTCCGACCGGGTCGTTTTCATTTGTCAAGTTCAGGTTATATATGTATGTATATATATATATATGTATGTATGTATGTATGTATAAATGTTGATTGTGGTTTACTTGATTAAAACGTTGAATTTACGGTTCAACTCCTTCCCTCTGCTTTCCCTTTGTTAATGGAATCTAATCCCTCTCTTCACTGAATATTGGTCAAATAGTTAAAGCTTAGTCTCGTCATATTTGTGTTATTAAGTGATTTTTAAGCTATGATTAGTATGTATTAGGCACTGCATTTTAAAAATAATTTTAAAAATATTTTAATTTTTTTATTTTAAATTAATATGTTTTTAATGTTTTCAAAATATTTTAATATATTTATCTAAAAAAAATAAAAAATAAAAAAATATTATTAAATACTTTTATAAATAAAAAAACAATTTAAAAAACCACCATAATTATATTTCTAAACATATTTTATTAAAAAAGAAATTCTCAGCACAAAAATACCTTCCCCAAACCTTGTGATTCTCAACAATTAAAAGACTAGTTTTATAATAAATCATTTTGAATTATGCCATTTAATTTTATTTAGACTTGACTTTTAATTATTAATTTTATTGGGATCCTGCTAATTAACTTGCTTTCCAAAAATGTTCAATTTTGAATTTTACAAACCACCATTCGACTTTTTTAAGAATAATTTCTTGTGGGTTTTAATTTTAAGTTAGTATTCAGAAAGATTTATTCTTAAGAACAAGCATGTTATTAATCTAATAATACTTTTATTTTCCATGCAAGGAATATGTTTTTAAACTAATCTAAGAATAATTTTATCGTAGAAAAAAATAGTTCTTAAGAACAAATTTATGACACAAGCTCATCGTGTGTTAATATTACCATCATCGCGGGTATGTATGGTATTGGCGAGGCACAGATGAAGCAGAGGCAGAATTTAAAAGAACAGGTATCCATAAGTGGAAGACGTCATTAATCTGCACGTACAGAAGCAGCACCTTCAGGGCTGAGCTCTCGCTCTCGCTCGTGCGAGGAAGGTCGTTTAAGAGGAGGAACATGGGACCCACATGTCTGGGTTCTTAAAGTTGAAGCCAACTTTTCTTCGAGAGAAGTCCATGTGCTGCCCACCGGAAAAGAAATGAAAGAAAGACCCGCCCAAAGACATCAAAATTAGCATGTGGGTCCCGCAAACAGCCATGTGGTCATGTTTTTCTTTGTTGATACTGGGCCCCATTTTTCCTTTCCTTTTTATTTTTCTTTTAGGTTCATACATCCAGATAGATGAAGTGGTATTTGAAACTTTCCTTTTTATTTTTCTTTTAGGTTCATAGATGAAGTGGTATTTGAAATTTTTGTTTATTATTATTAATAATATAAATATTTGGATAAGTTTATGTTTATTTTAATTAATTTTATAATTAATAATTATATAAATTTTTAATAATTTTAAAATAATTTAAACTCATGAACAATAAAAAAATAAACTCAAAATCTGATTAATTAAGTTACCCTCAAGTTTGGTATTTAAGATTTTTTATTGTAGGAGTAGTTATTTTTAAAAGTAATTTTTATTTAAAAATATATTAAATAATATATTTTTATTTTTTAAAAATTATTTAAGATATAGCATATTAAAATAATATACAAAATAAAAAATTATTTTTAAATTATTTTTTTAAAATTTCTTTAATTTTTATTTAAAACACAACACTAAACAAAAATGAAAGTAATTAGATTGACAAGAGCACTCAACCAGACAAAGAAATATCTACAAGTTAGGATAATTATTGAGCTAGACATGAGATTAATACATGACTCTTTTCCATCGTGTCATGTATAATTGTTTTGCTCCAATTTTTTCTTTTATTTAGTATAATCCTCGTTTTATTTTTTTGGGTGAAATTGGAGGCTATAAAACCCACTTTATATTTCTTGTTTATATTGGTAAGAAATAAAAATGGACAATGCTGCTTGGATCAAATCAATTTGGTCATAACCCTGTTTTGCACACAAGTTCTATCATTAGGGGATGAATTAGCTCAATTTATCTTCATATTTTAGTTTTAATTTCCATTATGTGAAAGCCATCCATGGTTTGATTTAGAAACATATAATATACAAGGGGAGGGAAATGCAACGGCCATAAGGGGACCCTGTCATGTCCACATCGTTGAAATCATTCTTAATTTCACGTGGATTTTTTTCTAATTCTTTTTGCTTTTCAACCAAATTATTCATTACAAAGATGCAAGTCAGACATTTGATCATTTGAATTCTTTTCATTTCATGGAATATACAAACCTAATCATTTTTATTCATGTTAGATATATCATTAACGAGTCTTGTGCATTTTAATCTAAAAACTGAGGCTAAGTTGTTAGATGAATCTCTACAAATAACTTTATATTTGTAGAGAAAACACTGTGATGATCTCAATGCTGCCTCAAAACGTAGTGAACGGAGTTAAGAGAAAAATCACAATTGCTGTTTAAGGCTGGTTTGTTCTTGTATTTTAAAATTTAAAAAAAAAAATTAATTTTTTTATTTTTTTACTTTAAATTTATATATTTTTACTATTTTTAAATTATTTTGATGTGTTAATGTTAAAATTAAATTTTTTAAATAAAAAATTTATTAATATATATTTTAATACTAAAAATTATTTAAAAAATAATTATAACTATATTTTTAAATAAGTTCGGCCGCAAGACTTTTTCACACACTATTGAGCATATATTTTTCATTTTAAATATGATTTTTTTTTAAAAAATTGATCCCTCATCGGGTTTTTTTTTGTCTGTCTTTTATTTTTATTTTTATTTTTATTTTAATCCTTCATTGATGAATTACTATTCAATCTTGTCTGAGGTTTCATCCCAACAATCGTAATTAAGATCCCATCGGGAAGAAAGGAAAGGAAAGGGGACAAATAGCCATACTAGGTTGACTTATTGTGCTCGTCTCATGTCATGGCATAAGTAGCAAATTTAAAGGTTGCCATGTCAATTTATTAATTTGGTGTCGTTTCTTCGTTTCATTCCTAGATTTTTTATTTTTTTTAATTATATTCTTTGGTGGCTCGTTGTTTTGCGGTTGAGCCTCACAAGTTAAGATAAAAGCTAAAACAATGATGAATTGGAATTTTTATTTTAAACTCAAGCCACGGACCACGTCAAAGATGAAATTAAGTAAATAAATTAGATTTTTTATTGATTATTATTTTTTTATTTAATTTTTTTCAAATTAAATAAAAATATTAACACGTAATCTTGAGTTCTAGTTTAGTTTTTATTTATCATTTTTCTAACAATTATAATGTATATGAAGATTAATTAATTTTATTGAATATACTGATCACTAATCTTTTAATGGGCACTCCATAGTTTTCATCATCATCAAAAAATTAAAAAAATTCACATCACCCATATTTTTTTTAATGATTGAATCAATTTTTGATCTGCCCGCAAGTTGGATGGGCACCCAGACCAGTTTCTGCCTCCCCACTTCATCTTCCTTGAGCACTTTTGGAAATCAAGCATTGCCAAATTTCCTCGTAAACATTGTGATCTCACTGTTTTTAACTTGATTCATCATTTTGTTTAATTTTTAGACCTTCCTTTCTGTCATGTCTTTCAGCTCTCCTGGTCACTTAATTAGTCATGAAACTGTTACATAACTCCTCCATAATTTATTGAACTGTCATAAAAAACAATGCGAACGTCGTCTTCTTTTTTGGGAAATTACAAAGTGAACGTTACCCATTACTTCAAGCAACACACTTTACAAAATGGCAGGCATCAACTATTCTTTTAATCAACTACAGGAGACTTCATGCAAAGTATCGCACGAAAGCCTTAAAAAGCTACTCCTTGTTTCCTTCTTTTCATATATTGGAAAGCTAAATTCATTGCAAGGAGACGGTCAAAGCCCCAGCAAAAAACCATCTCTGCGCAGTCGATTAAGAACTCACAAGTGTAAGGAAAAGTATAGGGACAGACAAGGGGGTCTGTGTGTGTGTGTGTATATAGTATTTAACTAATCCAAGACCCTCAACTTCCTTAACCAAACTGATCACCTCCACATGGTCCACATTTGAATGTTTTATATGTGTCGGAATCGAACCACAATTAATTAGTAAGTTAATTTAGTAATTAACTGTATAAAGAAAATCTAGTTATGTGAGAATGGATATATTAGATATATTCTGTACCCAGAACAAAGATTATATTATATTGGTGGATGGACAAGAAACATAATCATGTGCGTTAATCTTCTCGAAGGCAACTAATTCATGTATCGGAACATGAGAACATGGGCCTTTGTTCTAGAAATGCTCCCTTAATTAGCTTAGTTGCATAGGGTTCTTTTCAGTTATGCTATTGAGCTTGAATTTCTGTCCTGGATTGTGCTGACCAGTTCTTTAATCACAATAAATCAAATGATGTTTGATGCCTGAATGATGAGAAATTACTGGTATGTTTAAGATTATACCCTTCACTTTTACAAAAATACAAAACCCATGAATTATTACAATTCTGGCATATCTAATTAAATTTTATGATTGATTTTGATGAAAATGAGTGCCTCAAACCTACGAATTATTACAATTCTAGCATATCTAATTTAGTTCTATGATTGATTTTGATGAACATGAGTGCCTAAAATCCATGAATTATTACAATTCTAGCATATCTAATTTAGTTTTATGATTGATTTTGATGAAAATGAGTGCCTGGGGGGAGATATGAGCAATGGGATTGATGGGCGACATGGTCAATTATAAATAATAGCAGAAAAGGAAAGTCTCCTTCGAAGAAAAGTAAAGAAAAGAAAACAATAAGCAATTCATGATTTAAGAAAAAATGTCAGCAGCAAATATAACAGCTAGCATGAATTTATGATCATAAACAAGCAGGTTGTCTTTTCTATCTAGAGTTCTTTATCTCTGGATTCAAACATAAAAATAGGTCTCACAGTTATAGCTGGATGATGAACCATGATTTGATCTTAATCGACCATCACTAATTAAACAGAAATAATTTTCTTTACGAAGAAGTCCAGTCAAATTCTTCCGAATTCAATATTTTGTTTGTTTTCTCAGTCACGATCATCTCTTGAAATACTTCCCTGAAGAGCACCTCTTGACTGCAGTCCAAAACCCTTGGCTTCTGACCTCTTCATTATCCTTAGCCTCTTGCAAGACTCAATAAACATCCTGTAAAAATAAATAAATAAATAAATAAATCGCAGGCTATTTATTTAGCTTTGTTTCAGCATACAGAATATAAATTAAAATGTCAAAAGCAGCTAGTTTTACCCCCCCACCGGAAAAATAAATTAATCCCATCATCCTTCGATAGAGCAGCTTCCTTAATTTATTCGTAATTAATTGGTATATTCTCTTAGAATATGGTTAATACATTGGCATAAAATCGACATAGATCGATAATCTAAGCGAAAAACAAATTATTGTAGAACTTTAAGAATAAATTATCATAATTGAAAGGAAATGTTGCAAGAACCACTCCATAATAATGACCGATGCCTTGACATTATGGACATTATCGCCATCTACCCAGCACAATTATAAGGAAGTTGCGTTTGTCGGCAGTATGTGGCCCAACAATTTCAAAAGAAAAAACCTAAATTTACTTGCAAGTTGCTAGGACTCATCGAATGCCAAAATCGCCATTATATATCTCTCTACAAATATTTTCAAATTCACAATCTTATAAAAGAAAAGGAAAAAGAAAAAAGAAACAGCAACATTGCTCACAGTAGTTAACCATAAACAATCCACTTAAGAAATTATTCAAATTCAAAGATTCCAATGGCAACAAGAGTTTTACTTAAATCTTGATCCATACAAATTTCATAGTGTAATTATCAATATTTACAATATTAAAAGAGAGATAAAGAAGAGTAAAATAGAGAATAAGACAGAGAATCACAATCACACCAAAAAAATGAAAAAAATAAAATAAAATCATTTCTCATTTCTCTCTCTCTTGTGTTCATCTCTTTTTCAAAGCAATAAGTACGCGTAATTATAATTTTAGTTATGACCAGCAGTGATGCAAAATCTCATGTAAAATTAATTGCCAACCAATTACTAGTTACATTTTTCTTCACATTAATTAAAAATATAAATTCTTGATAATTATTTAATGTTGTTATTAAGTAGATTAATTTTAAAAATTTTTGATATAATTTATTATCTAGTCTAAATTTAAAATTAAATTATATGAAAATTAACTCGAAATAACTCAGTAGACTTTGTCGATTCAAAACAGCCTGATTGACTGGCAAAAAAAAAATTAGATGATGAAATTAACAAAAAAAATCTCTTAATCTAACTATTTGTCTATCAAGAGTTTAATATTAAACAATATAAGAGTAGCTCTGACATAACCCAAAGGACTTCGGATAGTCTAAAAATAACCAGAGTGATTAATAAAAAAGTCTGAAAATAAAATTAAGAAAAAAATAAAATTAACATAAAAAAATTTTTAATTTGATTTTTTGCATAATTTGAATGTAAAATTAAATCATGTAAATTTTTTCTTGATAATATTTTATAAATTTAATTTATCTAAATACAACACGAACTATTATTAAAAAAATCATGTCAGAAAAGAAAAGGAAGGCTTAATTTAAAAAGAAGAATTGAAAAACTTGATATGAACAATGAGGCTCCATTTACTTTCCTAAATGCTGTAGTGCAATAGGGTAACATGTGAATTTCACACGAAGTCAAGTCTGATGGCGTTGATTAATGCAAATTCTCACGCGGAGCTTAGGTTCAAGAAAGTATCATTACAGACATGTTGTCGTCCGCTTTGGACACAGTAGACAAAAAGAGCAGTGGCTGTATGAATGAAGGCTGAAGTAGTCAAGAACAAACATCAAGATCCAGGGTCAATTTGGCTTGTAATGCACGCAAATGGTGAGAAAGAGAAGGAACATTGGGAGGCATCTTCCAGAATATAGAGGCAGCAAAAATAGACATGTGACTCTTAAAGGGGATAATTAGGATGCGAAATCATAAGAGGAGAGGGAAAACACCGCCACATCTCTTGGTTGGAGGAGTCAAAGCTATTGAATGAAAGAAAATATTGGTCATGATTAACCTTTTAATTACCTCCGACACACCTTTTTGAAGGGAATTGGCGTGGTTTTTCTTTTTTTCCCTTAATATTTTAACAAGTGTTACAAATTTACCACACCATGTAACCTCTAGAGTGTTGATGTTTGTTTTTAAAAATATTTTTATTTAAAAATATATAATGATAGTTTTTATTTTTTTTAAATTTATTCTTAACATCAAAATAATCTAAAAATACTTATAAATTTACCTCACCCCAACAATTTCACAGAAAAAAAAAGATGTTAAAAAATATAGTTTTTTTCTAAATACTTTTTGTTTGAATATATATATATATAAAAAAATTTCTTTTTTAATATCAATACACGATCAAAACCATACAAAAATACTAGAAAATTTTCAAAAATTAATTTGCACAATTTGTTTTTCAAATTTTAACAGAAGAACAAGTTGAAATTCAATATCTAACCCTTTCTCAAAACCCTAATATGATGAGCACTATCCTTTCCCACCAATAATTTGAAAAAATGATTTTAATCCCTCGTGAGCACATATGCTCCGGCCACCAGGCAATCAGCCCCGCTAACAATTGATTGAACGCTACAAATTCATTTATATTTATATGCCGTTCTTCAAGTAAATAAAAAAAGAAGAAAGGGCGGTGTTACTGGTTGGATAAGAGACTTACTCCCATGGCACGTCTCCCACTAGCATCCAGTCTCCATCCTTGTCTTCATATATAGGAACGTATTCGCAGTCGTCTGTATCCTTCAAGGCTTTGCCTGCCAATAATATTATTTTACAAATAATTATCATGGCCATTTACTTTTTCTCTCTAATTAAAGGATCATAAAATAATAAACTTTGTTCTCTTATTTACTTCCAAATTACTTGTGGGCAATCTTATAAATACTGTAGAAAGTGTGCATGTACATATTTGGAGTACTCCAGCTGGTTTTCACATTTATTGTACGACTTCTCAATCTATTATTATCTGAGTTATTTCCACTACAGTTTGTCTATACTACCATAATGACTGCCTGCTCGGCAAAGGTCCTTATGTTTCTTGTATGAATTTTAGCGCATGACACATAAATGATGGTTTTTTTCGATGTATGTATTTCTTTCACATACATACACACATACATATAATGCTGCATGGTCTATAGATGTGAAACTCTGCCTACCTTGTCTTCTAGCTAAACGTTCACAGTTAATGCTAGCTCGGTATAATTAAGGAAGCTTAATGTGTATACCATGCATAAAAACTAGATATTAATAGCACTGTAAATAGATGATAGAAGACTCACCGATTCCAAAACAGCCAAACAACTTCTCCAACGCGACGACAAGATCCGAATACTCCTTGTGCATGCCCAAATCAACTTTTCTGAGAAAAGGAGCTCCGTCCATACTAACTTTCACGTAAATTTTTGAAGTTTCATGGCTATCTTTCTCGTTGAAACTATTCTTCTTTCGATAGGAACATACTGGAGGCCACCCCACAACTTGACTCGTTGTTTGGGTTTTTCGCCCATCGGTTGTGCTGTTTGCTTCGCCGGACAACTCTGAGAAAACCCTTTTCTTTTCATTTTTTGGTCCCTTTTCGCTGCCCGGGGGACCCAACCTTAGCTCTGTGATTTCAAGTCCAAGAGGCTGTGCCATTTTTTTTTTCTTGGTGATGGGCAAGGGTTGCAATTTTCGTCTTTGGAACTTTGGTTAGGTTTTGGCTCGACGGTTTCAGTGTGTTATATAGTGTTTGTTAACTCTATAATTTTCGGTGACCAGAAAGGTTTATTTGTATATATAATCATTTTTTTTTATACAAGCACAGAGAAGAAAGCAAAGGTAGGACATAGTGGGTGCAATGACAGGTCACACAAGGCTTAGTGGTCGGTCACATGAGAGGCACAAGTGGGGACTCTGCCTCCTAAAAACAGAATTAAAGGCCAGCACCATAAGTTGGATATGGGACAGATCGTATGGCTGTTGGGTATTAGGTGATTTGGTAGGATTTGCCTCAGCCGTCTGATTTGGTGAAGGGAAAACAGACCATGTGATCTGCCTTATTGAGGGGGTTTATGCAATAAATTACGAAAAATGTACAGCAAATTCTCAGCATGATACAAGGGGAGTTTGTTTTGCAACACTCATGTCCATCCAATGTTGCTATTTGACCATGGATGCGCAATCCCTTATATAGTAGGTCTCTTAAAAATAGAATATTGTCCTAATTAAATTACATAGTGACTTTTGTTCTAAAAAATTTATGGGAAAAAGAGGGGAACTTTGTATTTATAAGTGATTAAAGTTTTTGTTTTTTAGTTGATATAGGATAATGATATTATCATAATTATTAATAGAGGGTTTGGATAGTCACACATATATGACTAATTTTTCTATAAATAGCGCTCATATGATATGTGTCAACACCTATATATAATAAATCTCCTAAAAAATATTATTTTACTAAAATTATATAGTGAGTTATAAAAAGATACCTCTTGATTTATAAGTATTCAAGGTCATTATCTCCTAGTTGATAGTGTTACTAGTATCATTATAATAAATTATGCTTGTGAATAAAATTCATGTCTCTTAGTTGATATAAGATAATGACATCATCATAATTTCTAATCTGGAGGTTTAGATAGTCACGATAATCTTTTTTTTTAAATAGCGTTTATAATAATATGTATTAACACCTATATATGACAGGTCTCTAAAAAATATTGTCCTATTAAAACTATATAGTAAGTTTTGTTATGAAAATATATTTTTTTAAAAATAAATTAAATTTTGTGTTTATAAATATTTAACATAGTTGTCTCCTAGTTGATATGAAATAGTGTTACCAGCATTATTATAGTAAATTATGCTTGTGAATAAAGAAGAGAAAACAATATCAGAAGAGTAATCAACCTATAGTATTACTCTTGAATCTTTAAACTCATAACCAATTCAAATATTTTATTTTAACGTGACATCTTTCTTCTTATAGGTCCGATGTTGGAGTAGTTGCCAAAAAGCATAGATGGCTCAAATAGAAACGAGATGTGGTGGAATTCGGGAAATCTGGTTGCATTAAGGGAAAATCTTTTAATGTTCATAGATAGTCGCTTAAGATCGACAACACCATAATCATGTTAGGATATGGACACAAATACGCTAAGGACCCGGATAATTGCATTTGCCATGTAATTTCTTCATTTTTCAAATGGAAGTCATTTCTTATCTGTAAATGATTATAGTTAACAGACACTAACAAAAATTAACAAAATATGAAGGAAATATTATGTTAGTGTTTAAAGCTTGATCCACTTAGAAGTACAATTATTAAAGAAATAATGGACATAAAAATTATTGTTGAAGAATATTTCATCAATTATTTTTATTTCATTGGTCATTTTATTAGGAATATAATTATCGGTACATTTACCAACAAAAATATTATACTAAACAAGAACATTTATGGGCAATAATTTCATTAGTAAATATTTATTGATGATTATGGTATATTATATTATATCAAGTATTTTATTATCATGTATTTTGATAAAAAGCTAAAAAAACTATTTTAGAAAGAAAAAAAAACTACTAAAAGAGATCAGGCATCATAGCCTAGGATATTGGGTTTAAGTGAATAAAAAGAAGACTTGACACCTGTGGACCTGAAAGCCAGAACACTCTTGACATTCTTTTTCTTATCTTTTTGTTTAGAGATGAAAGACCCTTTTATTAGAAAAAAATAATAAATAAACATATAACATGTCATCTGTATTGGTAAATGACATATCATTCTTTGGTTCAAATTTTGATCATGAGGGAGGTGGCCATCAAGTTGAGTTTCTTATTTTCTTAATCTAAAAACTCATTTTTCATTGTATTATCACTTGAAAAAACTTGAAAAATACCATATGAATCTCAAATTAAGCCACCCAACCCACCGATATTGACCTGCATCTATTAGTAGTATTAAATTCTTTCTCTTAGTTAGATGTCTTGTAAACCTTCACTCCATCAAGGAAGAAAACATATCTATTATTTTTATAATTCATTTATGTTTTAGGTTAATTTATTAAGATTATTTAATGTATTTGTAGTTGGCTTGTGTATTTAAGTGTTTCACTTCTTTTCCCTTGATAGTTTTGTTGTTTTAATACATGATTTATATATTAGGTTTGTTTGAGTTTTGCAAGAAATTGATTTTATTTTTCAATTGATGAAATTGAGTTTGATTTTGTAACTTAGTTGTGTTATAATTAAAAAATAATGGGTAATTTAATGGGTACCATTTATGTTTTTTCAATTTTATAGTTAAGTTGACAATTTGAGAATTTTTTTTTTTATGAAATTGATGATAATTAAAATGTATCATTAGGTTGAATAAGTTTCAATTTAATAAATTATGGATAATTAGTTGGTTATTGATTATATTTTGTTAATTTTATTGTTTAGTTCACATTTTGATAGAAAATAAAATTAGTGTGGAATTGATAATTGTCATATTATGGTTTGGTATATTTAGATGTGTTTTCTTCGGCTTTGAAATTCTAATTGAAATTTTAGGGAGGTGCATTGTATCTCTGGTGTTCATAGACGGGAGGCACATTAACAACTCATATGGTAAATTGTATTTATTTTTTATGTTTTGTAACAAACATAATCATTTCCTTTTCTATTTGAAGTGCATCAAGTTAAAAATTGACTTTTATTAATGTGTTTTTTTTTTTTTATCTTTAAGCTCCTTTTATTATTCCTTTTTTTTTCCTTTTCTTGGTGCTTTTTTGGTTTGTTGTTATACCTTCTAATCTAGATATAGGTTCGACTTCCTTTTTCATGTTGCTTTTTTTTTTTTCCGACCCTGACCACCATTGGTTTTTGTTTTCATCCGAGTTCTTTGACTATCACTTTTGGATGAGTTTAGTTCTTTTTATTAATTTGTATTATCTTCTAGATGAAATGCTAAAACATTGTTAGTTAAGTAGTAACTATCAATTTACAAGGTGGGATAATAAAAACAACAACAATAACAACAATAATAGCAACAATAATAATAATAAAGGATAGATGAAATTATTGGCAATAAAAAACAAAAATTGAATTAGGCTTTAATATAAAGCTACTAATTAATATTTTCCTACATGCATATGATTAGTACTTAAAAGTGTATTTTTATCAAGGTTTTATATTATCATTTTACACTTGAAGTATTAATAACTCTTTAACTAAAGCATGTTTTATAATAACATATCTAATAATATAAGATACCTTTAACTTTTGGTAAATGTTCATTTTAAATACAGGTCTATCACATAAATGAAATGATTGATTGACGAGTTTAAGAACTGAAATTGAAAGGACAAAGAGATGACCAAGCTTAGAAAAGAGATGCCGGTGCAGTCCAAACCAGAACACTGTTTGGTAATTGGGTCATATTTGGAGTTGTAGATCTCAGATTTAGATTTACTTTATATGGATGGAAAGGTAAGACATAGGCCTCCAATTTTCATATGGAGCCTAAGATTTAAAAAGGTCATTTTCAAGTCCAAATTGTAGCAACAACAAAGAAGTACGAATCTGTCCTCCAGCCTGAGCCTTGTTCAGTGTTTGGCCCATATCTGGAGTTCTAGAAGTCCAAATGACCTCAAATGTTTACCTAAGAAATCTGAGATAATTTCCTACAACTTTCATGTTTTCAAGTGGTTCTAATTTTGACGTTATCAATGATGTTTTGGGCAGATAAGAGAAGTTAAGAATTGTCACCAAGTCAAGAGTTGGTCACCCACTCATCAATTAGTCATCAAAGCAATAGTTCCCAATTTTGGCCTATAAAAGGAGGCATTTGCCATGCATTTAGGTATCTTAGTTTTCAGATCAAGATCATGCTCTTGCTTTCTCTCTTTGTATGCTCTTTCTTTCATTTTTTGTAATGTTTATGCTTTGCTTTCATTAATATCAAGTTTATGCCTTTCATTTCCTTTCATTTACTTAACTTTTATTTTATTTATGTTTTTATTTTTATTATTTATTTTTCTTTCTTTCATTATGTTTAGTTAAGTTTATTATGTCAATGTGAAAAGGTTACACTAATGGTGTAAGAATAAGTATAGTGTAAACTTAATATGGACTTTAATATTTAATACTAACATGTTTTGTATTTGTTATCTTGTTCAGTCTTTAATACTTTGCTTGTTAAATGACTAATCTAGATTTATATTGTATAATACTTGGTACAACAAATGCTTGGCACTTTCATAGTCCATACTGTATGGTATAACCGAGACCTGAGCTATAAAAGAAACTTGATTTGTTGTTAACATAAGTTATAATCATGAATGCTTGACGAGATTTACAAGTATTAGCATTAATCAAATAAGATAACTAATGTGATCATATTAACAATTTATAATCTGATTGGAACCTCCTTTGTGTGTAGTTTCCAATTGAATAATAAGATTTTATACTATACTTGTTTGACATACCATTAGTGGAACCTCTAACCTTGACATTTGTTATTATTATTATTTAATCCTTACATTAATATTTCATCTCAAAGTTCTCATCTTCATCTTCTTCTTCTCCTTCTTTTTCTTTACTATTGTTGTTGTTGTTGTTGTTGTTGTTGTTGTTATTGTTATTGTTATTATTATTGTTGTTGTTATCTATAATTAATACAATTAACCTCCCTGTGGTTCGAGCCCGGTCTTGCCAGGTTATTTATTACTTCGACACTCCTGCACTTGGGAGAAGACATCAATCTTTTGGTCGTGTCAAGTTTTTGAC